TTTCAGCAAAACCAGGAGGAGAGAACAGGATTTGGACTCAGGTGCTGACACTCACAGACACACCCCCTCCACCAAGATAAGGGCTGAAGCAATTGCAAAAGGCCCATTTTGATATAATAGCAGAGCCATCAGGATTCATTGTTCTCCAAATCTCCGCGAGTACTGAGCCCACAGTGTTACAATAAAAAAATACCATTTTCTTTCATTTATGGGTATGTAGCTGAAGATCTCCCAGGTTTGCACAATATACCCTAGGAGAGTCCTATATATATATAAGAGAACGGAGCTCTGACATCCATATTTAATTACTCATGGCTGATGTTATCAAATATCAAGCCAAGAACAATTCAAAACGGTCCCTCAGGATCACAGGTCCCTGGTTCCCAAAAGGGGGATTCCCAGCCAATGCCTCATCAGTCTAGAAGGAGGGAACCCCAACCAGTGCCCATCAGAGATGAAGCTGAATGAATGACCAATGCTAGAAAGAGGAAATTCCAAACAATGCTCTGCCTCAAGCAAAGCCAATGCAATAGGGAAGGATATCCTGGTGTCATCACACTGGAGCCCCGTTACTCACCAAAGATGTCACAAAGGGCCATGCAAGTACTGATACACACACACACCTGTATGTGTATCACACAACAAGCTTGGTCCCACAGACAAAACATCAGACATGTGTGGCCCCCAAATCCCACTTCTACTCCCAAATGGAGGCTTCCAGAGTAGCCTGGCTCCCAAAAGAGAATGGACCCAGAGTGGCTCCCAGTGAGCCCAGAACAGCTCATTTCCTGGAAGGGAATGAGCCCAGGTGGAGCAGGTAGAATTTTCCCACCCTGCGCAAGCCGGAGTGGCTCATCCCGAAACGAGTCACACAAAAACACAAACAACAAACAAGCTGCGGTCGCACAGACAGACAATCAGAGGAGGTGTAGTCTCAAAACCCCACTTCCACCCCCAGACGGAGGCCTCCAAACAGATTGGGCCCAGATCTCAAAAAAGAACGGACCCAGAGTGGCTCGCAATGAGCCTGGAGCTCATTCTCATAAAGGAATGCGCCCAGATGGAGTGGAGAGAATTCCCAGCCTGAGCAAGCTGCGGTGACTCACCCCCAGGCGACACTGAAAGTGGACCGCTGCTCCAGACTTGCTTGGTTCCAAACAGCCTCGGACGGGGACGGCCACCTGTTGCGGAGAGTCCCGCCCAGTTCCCTGGAGCCAAGTGAGCTCCGGCAGCTGCTGGGACCCAGGAAAGTGGCTGCCCCTGGGCAGGGGCGACCCGCCACGGGCATAGACTCCTAAGCTGGCTTTGCAAAAATTGATACCAAATGCCAGTTCATGTGCCTGACACTCAGTGAGGCCAAACAACCCAAAACATTGGAGTTTGGAGCAAGGAAAGGTTATTGCTGGGCTGAGCAAGGAGAATGAGTGACACGTGCCCCCCCCCCCCAAAAAAACCCTAAAATCCCCGGAAGGTTTCAGCCGAGCATTTTTAAAGGCCAGCTGAGGGAGGGGCAGCCCAGGGTACGTGATCAGCTGTGCACAATTCCCTGATTGGTTGATGGTGATCAGTCCTTAGGCACCAGAAGGTCTGGGGGCTAAGTGCTCATGGTCATCAAGGAGTTAATGTCTTCCACTTGGTAGTGGTTTTTAGCGGCAGGAAAACTCAGGAAATATGCATGAGATACTGTTATCTGGGTCCTTCGGAGACAAACTGCAGCAGAGAATATGGGAGAGAGGTCTGTCCTGGGAAGGCCCTCTGGGGTCCTGCTCCGTTACACTCTGAAGGAAGCTCACCCCAAACTTATCCTCTGGTTCTCCTGTCTGAGGGTACACAATGTAGCTCCCTCTAGCTTGTCATAGTCACCATTTAGTGTCTTCATGCAATTCGTTGATTTGAAATGACATGAAAAGGAAAATTTGCATCTTAAAGTGAATTTCCCACAGAGAGAAAACTTCAGCTTGCTGAAGAGCTCTGGGAGGCATCCTGTTTAACTAGTGTGTGTGAACTGACTCTGCGCGTTTTCCTTGAACTAGGAGGCTGAGAGAGAGCACGGGCTGGCTCTCAAGATGCGGTCACTGCCGTGTCAGGGGCCCCCAGTGGGAAGACGGATACTGGGCCTTTTCCTCCCCTAGTCCTATGTCAAAGAACGCCTCCCTCTTTCCCATTCCACCCTGTCTCGAATTTATAGCTTGCTTTTAAGTGTGTAAAGTTACTTTCCTTTTTAATCTTTTTGTTTGTTTGGGGGAGGGGTAATTAGGTTTTTTCATTTACTAATTTACTTTGATGGAGGTGGTGGGCATTGAACCCTGGACCACATGCGTACTAAGCATGCACCTCACCACTGAGCTACATCCTCTCCCCTGTGAAGTAATTTCCTTAAAACAATTTCAGGCTTTAACAGGAATCCTCTGTTCTGTAGAGACGACGGTGTGCTCACAAGCATGAGAATGACCTCAGAAAGCAAAATCCCTTTTAAAACGTTGTTCCTACCCCACTTCAGTGGTACCCACCAGGCCAAAGTGCCTATGAGGGCATGTGAAGGGTGTGAATTCTCTCTTACTGCTGCCTTTTCTCTCTCCAAAGACTAGGGCCACTCTCACCCTGATCCGGGGCTTCGTTCTGCCAGCACGTCCGCTCCCCACCACTGTCTCTGTGCTGGTCTGGCTCAGACTGCAGTGCGCCCTCCGGCCCGCATCCCCCAACCCCTGGGGCGAGCTCCTGCAACCATGGCTTACAGCCCGCCTTCCTCCTTGCCTCTTGAGTCAAAATATTGACAGAATTGGGTCAAGCTCTCTTATTTTCAGGCCAGCTATATAGGTCACACAGCCTGCACCTTGAAAGTCGGTCTCAGGTTGAGGCTTAACCCACTTCGACTGAGAGGGGAAGCCAACTTCAGTCTTTAAAAACCCCGGTGAATATAAGATAAAGAAGTAGCACCCCAAAGGAGGCGGTCACTTGTCTTAATGAACGTCAGTCCGTGGAAAGACAGCTGAAACAACATAGTGGAATTTTCCACTTCTTTGCTCCATGACCAGGTGATATTAAAGGAGGGCTCACAGTCTTCGGCCACTCTGTCCCCCTCAGAGCTCTGTTTCTTCCATCAAGCCTTCCGCAGCTTCTCCGACCCCTGGCTGGGCCCTGTCTGCACCCCTTCAGCGGCAGCTACTCATCCCTGCCCGCCTCTGCTCCCACCTACCAGTCCCGTGTGTGTCATGACACTGCAGTGTGATGCTGAGTTCTTCTAGATGAGGTGGATGAAATCCCATGACAGGATCCTAAGTCCCTAACTCTGTGATGACACTTCTCCACCCTCCCTGGTAGCTTGCAAAGTCCTGGACACCAGACAGGTGCTAGACCAACATTGGTTGAATGAGTGGAATTGAATTCCCCTGTGAGGCCAGTATGCGAATCCAATGCCTTCTCTTCATGGGCTGTCGTGTGCACACCTGGCAGAGATGCACATCGCTCCTGTTGAAATCCCAAATGCTCAGATGCTTTTAACAGCTGAGGCCTTGGATTTCAAAGCCTTTACCCAATATTAACTGGTGGCTTGATGAGTTGGGGCGTTAAAAACAGCCCCCGCAGTCAGAGAAAATACTGCTGGGGACATGGCTACTTTTTGTGAGAGAACCTGACCTAAAAGATCTTGTTGTCCTCCATCCCTCCCCAAATCCTATGGACTAAGGCTTTGCGTGGTGGCACTGGTGTCTGTTCATAACTCTCAGACACCCTCTGCCTACGATGCTGCCTCTTCCTGACCTCCAAATGCTCAGCTGGCCTGTCTCGGGCTCATTTTCCTGCAAGCTGCAAGCTAGCTTGATGCTGGGAGCCCTGCCCTCCAGGGCTCCCTCCCCATCACCTTCTCCCGGCTCCGCATAAGGCCTGGCCCACCCTGACATGCTCCATCGCCCCAGGCACAGCACCCTGCTAGATGCAGCAGCATTCTGGGCCAGGGGGTGCATCTTACTCATCTACAAGTTCCAAGGAACCATCTCCTTCTCCCAAAATTCAGCAGTTTCGTACCCACTGCAGGGGCAGCAGGCTGATTTCCTGATGACTAAGTTAGCATTACAGGCTTGACAGCTGAAATGAACCTGGCGGCAAAGTGGCATTTTCACTGAAGCATTTATTACGCAGAAGAGTAAGGCGCTAGCAAACACGTATAAATTAAAACCGAGCCAGGCAGAGAGGGTTCTCCATCCATGGCCACGTGCCCTTCTGTTACACAGCACTGTCCCAGGAAGTCAGCTGAGGTTTTCCCCGCCCTGCCACTGTCTTTGGGGATCCTTCTAGGTCTGAGTGGTACCGAGTCTTCCTTCGAGGCCTTTCCCTTGACAGGTTTGTCTTTCACTCGGTGAGTTGAGCAAGTGTCTGGAAAGAATGTGGTCTTGCTTTTCTCGTGCCCCCGGCTGT